GTTTAAAATGTCAACCTTCTTGCCAACCGTACATTTTTATGTTGTAGTTCAGCCTCTGACCACTAGTTGGCAGCAGTGAGCCAGGCATCCTCTACCTCTTGAACGCCAGAGAGTAAGGGTAGCATTAGCATTGTAAATAAACATTAGCTTCTCTTTTTTTTCATTAAGAGGTTTTTATTTAATAGAATTTTTGGACAAAAAATCGCAATATATCACAATAAATTGCCTTGCTTACAGTATCCCAATATATCGGGATATATCGTATCGTGACCCCTCTGTTACGATATGTATCGTATCGCCAAATTCTTGCCAATACACAGCCTTATTAGATGTAGCTCGTCTGTGTTGGGACATTCTTTTGAACAGTGGCCGCTTTGTTTCCCCGATGTATAACTGGTCGCAGTCCTCCTGGCACTTAACAGCATATACAACATTGCTCTGTGAAATGAAAAAGCACTTTAGGAGGCTATAACTTGTCAGCTTTCTGTGTGCTTGTTTCAAGTCTCACATTTGCTTTCACCAAGTGAAATTCCTATAATGTGTAACACACTTGGCAAAAAATAAAAAGTGATTACGGTTCTGATTCTAATGAAAGTTGCCCGTTTGTCATTATACAGCCTGTCTTTATATCTGTGACGTCTTCTTCGGCGTCAAACTGCAGCATGTTGCAGGAAACGCAGAGATCTTCCACACCATCTGTAATGAAAAACACAAGAAATTTTAAATCAGACTCTTGCTGCAAGACTTCAGAACATCTTGTCCTAAATATACTCTGAGGTCAAAGGACAAGACAATTAAGAGTATACACCTTTTTCTCATTAAAAGGGATAATATATCATATCTTATGAGCTGTAATCAATTTTTGCCAGGTAAAATCTTGTATTTTGGACGTTTAAATGTAATTATTTTCAGTTTAAATGACTCATTGAGCCTGAAACTGACAGATATTACCCCTTTTAATGAGACAAAGCACCATCAACACTCTCATTGCGATCTCAATGCAAAAACAGCAATTTATTTATTTATTGGAGCAATTAGTGAGTGACAAGTATCACATCACGTCACGTTTATCTCATACAGATCACAATCATAGTTTATATATATA